ACGAACAAACTGTCAATCATCTTGACAGGGAAATCCCCTACTGGCGATAACGACCCCCTGCTGCTTTGCAAGGTGATCTAGGATCACCAACAAGGACAAGGTCAAGTATCAAGGTCACATTGAGACGTCGTCACTCACAACTACCAAACTGAACAATTATAAATGTGAGAAATATCCTACAGATTATCATTATCTGAATGACAATAACTATGTGGTATGTATGGAAGATCACACATAACTGTCATGAAAGTTTAAAGACATTTTAATGAAATTAATGAAAACTTCCTGGCCTTGTTTTCATGTCAGAGGTAGTAACATTCAAAACACGAGTCTTCAGAAGATGACAAATCTCCATGTCCCCAAGTCCAACCTGATGAGAGAATTCTATCCTATCTTTCTGTCTGAATACATACGTGGTTATTAAGCTTTGAAATAAAGATTCAGAACTTTCTATTCCTGTCAGATACACACCAACATGAGTCAAAGAAAAAATATAAATCCTAAAAATCCCTTAAACACCAAAGGGCACCTACTGACAAACTGGTCTTTCAGTGGGCACATTTTCGAGAAAGTCTCTAATAGGTTTAGAGATATGGTTGGGACAAACATGCCACTACAAACAGAGTGAAAGACAAAATTGTTGGCATGACAAGTGAAAAATCATTTTTTTACAAAATTCCTAAATAGTAAAAGGCTCCACTTCAGCTCTTGATTAATACATGTCCCCAGTTTGGACAGAAAATACTGAATAGTGTTTTAGTTTCTAAAACAACACCTACCTCCCTTTAAGGCAAGTTTAACTTGTTTCCATGGAAACAGCAAAAACAAAGATGCAAAAAATCCACAAACAGCAAAAATTCACCACTTCAGGATCTGTTTGATATATCTGCATCGTTTGTTTAATCATATTGAGTACCAGAAGCAAAATGACTGATATGGTGTCAACTATAAGCCACCCACACCCCCAACCACAACCAATCAATGCATCTAAAGCCAGGGGACCAGCTGAACAGTTATACACTTGACAAAGTGTTACACCAAGTCTGTCATACCCACAAGTGAGTGAGTTTAGTTGTACGCCGCTTTTCACAATAATACTGCGGGGACACCAGAAATGAGGGGAAGACATTGGGTCTTCGCCGTGATGAGTGAACACTTTAACCATTAGGCTACCCCACCATACCCATATCCTCCAATACATAGGTACATCTTCGAACTGTGAGGGGCGGTGGGGTAGTCTAGTGGTAAAGCGTTAGGCTCATTCACGCCGAAGACCGATTCCCCACATGGGTACAATGTGTGAAGCCCATTTCTGGTGTCCCCCGACGTGATGTTGCTGGAATATTGCTAAAAGCAGCATAACACCAAACTCTCTCACTCACTCACTCACTCAATTCGAACTGTGCCACAGTGATACATCCTGCTACATGGATACACCTGGGTACAGTGATACATCCTGGTACATGGATACATCTGGGTACAGTGATACATCCTGGTACATGGATACACCTGGGTACAGTGATACATCCTGGTACATGGATACACCTGGGTACAGTGATACATCCTGGTACATGGATACACCTGGGTACAGTGATACATCCTGGTACATGGATACATCTGGGTACAGTGATACATCCTGGTACATGGATACATCCTGGTACAGTGATACATCCTGGTACATGGATACACCTGGGTACAGTGATACATCCTGGTACATGGATACACCTGAGTACAGTGATACATCCTGGTACATGGATACATCTGGGTACAGTGATACATCCTGGTACATGGATACATCTGGGTACAGTGATACATCCTGGTACATGATACATCTGGGTACAGTGATACATCCTGGTACATGATACATCTGGGTACAGTGATACATCCTGGTACATGGATACATCCTAGTACATGGATACATCCTGGTACATGGATACATCTGAGTACAGTGATACATCCTGGTACATGATACATCTGGGTACAGTGATACATCCTGGTACATGATACATCTGGGTACAGTGATACATCCTGATACATGGATACATCTGGGTACAGTGATACATCCTGGTACATGGATACATCCTGGTACAGTGATACATCCTGGTACATGGATACACCTGGGTAGGATACATCCTGGTACATGGATACATCTGGGTACAGTGATACATCCTGGTACATGGATACATCTGGGTACAGTGATACATCCTGGTACATGGATACATCTGGGTACAGTGATACATCCTGGTACATGGATACATCTGGGTACAGTGATACATCCTGGTACATGGATACATCTGGGTACAGTGATACATCCTGGTACAAGGATACATCTGGGTACAGTGATACATCCTGGTACATGGATACATCTGGGTACAGTGATACATCATGGTACAGTGATACATCCTGGTACATGGATACACCTGGGTACAGTGATACATCCTGGTACATGGATACATCTGGGTACAGTGATACATCCTGGTACATGGATACACCTGGGTACAGTGATACATCCTGGTACATGGATACATCTGGGTACAGTGATACATCCTGGTACATGGATACACCTGGGTACAGTGATACATCCTGGTACATGGATACATCTGGGTACAGTGATACATCCTGGTACATGGATACATCTGGGTACAGTGATACATCCTGGTACATGGATACATCCTGGTACAGTGATACATCCTGGTACATGGATACATCTGGGTACAGTGATACATCCTGGTACATGGATACATCTTGGTACAGTGATACATCTAGGTACATGGATACATCCTGGTACAGTGATACATCCAGGTACATGGATACATCTGGGTACAGTGATACATCCTGGTACATGGATACATCTTGGTACAGTGATACATCCTGGTACATGGATACATCTGGGTACAGTGATACATCCTGGTACATGGATACATCTTGGTACAGTGATACATCCTGGTACATGGATACATCTTGGTACAGTGATACATCCTGGTACATGGATACATCTTGGTACAGTGATACATCCTGGTACATGGATACACCTGGGTACAGTGATACATCCTGGTACATGGATACATCTTGGTACAGTGATACATCCTGGTACATGGATACATCTGGGTACAGTGATACATCTAGGTACATGGATACATCTTGGTACAGTGATACATCCTGGTACATGGATACATCTTGGTACAGTGATACATCCTGGTACATGGATACACCTGGGTACAGTGATACATCCTGGTACATGGATACATCTTGGTACAGTGATACATCCCAGTACATGGATACACCTGGGTACAGTGATACATCCTGGTACCTGGGTACAGTGATACATTTTGGTATATGGGTACATCCTGGTACCTGGATAAACCCTGGTACACACTCAGATACACCCTGACAGTGATGCCCTTCAGTGAACTACATTTATAAGAAACACACTGACACATATAACAAACTGTTTGGCGGTTTTGGCCATCTGATGCATGCTTAGTCCAAATGTGAATATAGGGCTATGGTTACAACAAACAAACTTAAATAATTAATCCCTTTGAAATTATTTCAACCATAGTTTACTGTACATAAAGCCCAACAAAAGAATTCTGAAAAAGTAATACATTAGCACACTGCAGCCTCATAAATATTACATTTTCACCACACATGATAAATCTAAAAATTTGTACATTTCCTCAACATTTATGAGCAAAGCAAATTTTTATAACATCTTATGACCATCTGTCAAAGTGAGAACATGTTGGTGAAATTAATGGTCCCTGTCTGGCATGTGGGTGCACTTCAGCATGCAGACAGGCAATATGATGGACAGGGAATACATGTCAAAACCACAGCAAAGATACATGTCCACATGGCTCGACCAATCAAATTACTGGCATTATTATGCCATGTTTGTCTTAAGAAAAATGAAATGAGTGAAATGCAATGTCTCTTATACAGTCACGTGACCAAATTCTCCTGCACAGATGCGGATAATTGGTTACTTCTTGTAAGAAGAATCAAGGGAAAGGGACAAAATTTGCATTTTCCTTAATAGAATATGTTCCGGTTTTTGTCCAATTCATAGCAACTATTTAACAAAGATTCCGTTTGACACTGCAAAGGTAAGTCATAAATCCATATAACTTCCATTCAAACAAATTTTCTGCAATAATTTCTGACAGTACATTTTACATCTCTATCATGCAAGTCGTAAGTTAAATAGCAGTTAAACTTTTTAGTTTAAACTTGTTTATCATTTAATAACAAAAATTGAATTTAAAATTCTCAAAGTTCTAAAAACACTTACTCATAAGAATATATGTACTAACCTCACAAATAAATCACGTTCTCATTTATCATCATGATAAAGAAGGTAATAAATGTATTTTCAATGCAATGTGCATGAGGTATAAGAGAATAATGAGATAATTAGTAGAATTCATATTTTGATGACACCGGAGTCAATGATGTTACTTTAGAGTTACACATATCAAGTCAGCGACCGCTGGTAAATGACTTGACCAGGTGTCCTTTCACACAACACACTTTCAACTTGCTGTCTCTCATGTGTTTTAGAAGGTTCTAGTTCATACATCAGTATCATTTATACCAGCCACAGCTGACCAGATGACAGTCAGCCCTTCATCACAGCTAATACCCTCTTCACTAATTCACAAGCCATAAAATTCAATATACAGCAAACAGAAGACATTTTTACATTTTCATCTCAATATTATGTTAAGAAAAATAATTCATAAATAAATATTATGTATTTCTTATTAAAGAAGATGTACCAGAAAATGTCTCTTGAACACTTTGTATGCAAATTGCAACAACAAAAAATGGTAAGATGATAAACAAAATCCCAATGTAAGACTTAACATTTTTTTAATTGATAAATATGAATTTGTTAGTAGAAGTTTCTACATGCAGATACACAATGTTCTCTGTGCAACACTTCAGCCTTAAAATGACTGGAGTGCAGTGTTACATGTACGCATATTGCTACCTACTTGCAGCATGGGAAGGCCACCTCTAGACACTGGAGGTACATTCAGAAAACTGCTGCTCGTTCACAAAACTGTTTCTGCAAACACCTTCCATTGCCAGATCTGAAAACATAATATCAATAGAATTTCACACACCCCTTGACAAATATTTAGTCCTAGAAATAAAGTTACCTAATTTGAAAAACCAAATGAAGCCCAGAACTGTTACCAAATGATAATTGACTTGAATTGAGTTGAATTCAATGTTTAACATTATTCTATATATCTCGAAAACAGTCAAACACACACCTTGAAAGCAATCTATTCATCTTTTGATATTTTCATTTAATAATGTTCATTTAATATGTTTAAAAGTAATCAGTTACTGAACTTCCGACGGATAATATGAGGGAATTTGTAAGCTTATCATACTGTAGTTACAATTTCACTCAAGAACCTTCATATTTCTTGTAAAACTTTTGGTACAATGGATATTTATTGTGTCCCTGATGAAAGTAATCTTTCAGAGAACAGTCTCTACATTTGTTTGTAATGAAGGCACATTTCTGCGTTGTGAAAATTCTGATCAGCGATTCATATTTCCCCACTATTTCACTTTGTCAACATGCTACAAAGCTACTTGTCAATCATGTTGTACACTAGAAGTGCCTATAAAAGATACATTTTCCTCATCTATTTAACTGTATCTTTAACACTTTATATCTACAACCACAGTGACCATACAGGGCCTTTATCATAGTTATTTTTATTTCCAGATATTTTGCTATATTTTCAAAGATTTTAGGAATACCACAAGACTTTGAGAAAACTCATTGAGGATTTCAAACTGAAAGCATACATGGCATTTCATTGCCTCTATTTTTCAGGAGTCCCACTTGTGTCACAAAAAAGTGCAGGACGTCAGAGAGCTTCTTTCAAAAATAGCAATGACACAAATACTGCCTTTCAAAAGTAAAAAACACATAATTCATCATGCACAAGAAAAAATAATTGAAAGCAACCACATTTCTTCAAACACGTAAAAAGTCAAGAAGTATTCAATAGAAAATGTTTCTATATCACTGTATGATCCATTATGGTGCTTAGTTTTTCTCATATGAAGAAAATGAATAATTCCTCAAATGACGATGACAGAACTTCTATGTACAGAAATAAAAAAAACAAATATTATGATTTCAGGGAGGACAAGGCAGTGAAAGATCCCCTTGAATTAAGACAATACTTAACGTTTTTCCCCACAAGTCAAATTTTTTTCAATACCTAAATGTTCTGTTTGAAGAAACACAGAGGGTTATATTCAACTTGAGAGATGCTATTTGTTTTTACAAACATCAACAAATACAATTGTGGACATGTTGGTGATCAATTTTCAGTGTTAAGTCAACATTCAGTTATACAACTTGTCAACGTCACAACAGCAAGTCTTTTTTTCGCATCAGCAAATATAATTTTACACTGCTCTCAGATCAATTTTCAATATTGTTCCAATCTGATGATCGAGAGAGATAACTGAAAATCAATTTTAAAAGGATTAATTCATCCACATCCAAATCTTAGGAAACAAGACAGTGTGAAGGCTCTGAAGCTCACCTGCCTCCAACTGTTTGGTTTGATAATGACAGAAAATGCAGCTCCATAAAGACACTCTCTCAATTTATTTATCTGTTCTCGATGACTTGAAACTGTGAAAAGTTTGTGGCCGACATGAACACATATTTATTGAATACAGTCAAATGAAGTACGGTGATAACACAATGAGGTTTTTGTTTCTGGGAGTGAGTTATGGTTTTACGTCGCTTTTAGCAATATTCCAGCAACATCACAGCAGGGGACACCAGAAATGGCTTCACACATTGTACCCAGCTGGGGAATCGAACCTGAGTTTTCGGCATGACGAGCAAAGACTTTAACCACTGGGCTACCCCACCGCTCCTTTTGTTTCTGGGAATATGTATTTGAAACATTAGTCTTGAAAACTGATGTTGCTTTTTTCACTTATTACAAAATATATAGTAGAAATACATAGTTGCCATGGTAACATATACAATTGTTATGAATACAGTCTTCATAACAAACATAGTCAAATTCTGTTAACTTAAAAAGGTTAGAATGATCTAATATGTTGAATTAACGAGTCAGATTAACAGGACTTGACAACAAAAATGTTACAATGTGTACGACTTCTACTCCAAGTTGTAAATAAAGTTCTCAGAATTATACTCTAACCTTGGTCATATCTGTTTTGTATGATTGTTTTCTGAAAGAACATCTTCACAACTAATACAAAGGTTACCATGGTTACTCTATTTTGTAAGTAATGTTTGTAGGGTTGAATCCTCAAAATATCATTCATCAGTTCCATGGAATTATTTGTACACCTGAAAAGAAGCTATCTGCTTGTGTGTGTACAAAGGCTTCAGTGTATATGGTGATCGAGAGTTACGGCAGTTCAGGAGTAATCATCTATTGTGAAAGGCTACACAGAGAATCCTTGAGAACATCAGACAAAAAGACAATAAATTATTTTCAGGTCTTTGTTATAACAGATCTTTATCAGCTTCCATGTAAACTAGCTTGGCTCAAATGTTTGTGGGGCCTGTCAAATTGACAGGTAACTTCCGTAATGGCTGGGACCTACATTTGCAAAATATTTACGAGGAGGAACTGAAGGCTTGAAAGACATTGGTTTCCTGGGTAGATTTATCCTCATCTCTTTGCTTGTCTGATCCACATCTGTTGGCATGACGATGATCTGCTGGCATGACAACCATTGATGTGCCCTCATCAAAGGCCATAGTTTTCAATTCCATGTTCAAGGATAGTTATTTCAATAAACAAGCGAAAATATTTAGAAAGTGACTATGTGTTTTTATGTATACATTTACAGATCTAATGACCCAAATATCTTACATGTGGAATATATCTAAATGTTTAGGAAAGTTCATTTTGGTTCTGGTGGAGTGATATTGAATTATTCAGAGGAATCAAAACTACCCTTATTGTTCATATTTTTTAGGGTGAGAATTCTTTCAGATATCACCTAAAACACATTAAAAGACATGAAAACAGGGTTATCACTGCCACTAGATTTTTTTGTAATAGCGTGATTAATATGGAAGTTAATGTTGATGTTAATGTAATCCAATAAAGCCTCAAGAAGCAATAAGCACAAAGGTTCTTTCGTGTCATTGGAAACAATATATACCAGCCAAAAAAGTAGGGGATATTGGATTTACAAGATTAGTAAAATGCAAATGATGAAGCCAAGGAGGAAACAGATGATGAAGAGAAATTAAGGGAAAATGTGACAATTTATTCCATTTCTTTGGAAATGTTTCATCTGTATGGATTTATATTACTTTTCAAATATGCATTGGCAGTGGCTAGTGGTATGCTCGCACAATGGAATATCCACTACTTTTTATTGAATGGTATATTTAATGTCCATTTTAATGCACAAAACATAAAGGCCGTTTGTATGGAAAAATCAATTTATGGCACCAATTTTGCAAAAGTCTTAATAATTTTTCAAAAAGCTACCAAGGTTTCTTGTATATAACTTATCTTGATTGCAGCCATTATGAACTAAGTAAATATTTAATATATCTGAATTTGACCACCAGTGAAGATATGGAATAGAACTAGTCTTCAGTAAACCATGCCTGCTCGATGACTTGCTTGACGCATGTTATCACATCCCTATTGCATAGATTAATGCTCATGATGTTGATCACTGGATTGCCTGGTCCTGGTCCCAATTATTTAGAGACCGCCGCCATATAGCTGGAATATTGCAGAGTACGGCATTAAACAACAAACAAACAAATCTGAATTTCACGAACCAGCCATGTTGCTGCAATGATCGCTGCCATGATACAAGACCTGGACAACCGTTACAGACACACAGTTCTCAGTTTAACCTACACCTGTGACAAGCATGGGGTATTGGAGACCTTTCCTGCTCAGGTAACAAAACACATGTGTAAAATACTGTGGAATAGCCATGCAGCACTATCTCCATCAGGCACGAATCTACATCAGCGGCCATTTCCGGGCCAGAAAGCAACAGCAACTGCCAGAAATATTTCCACGAATCTAATTCAAGTTAATTTCAATTCATGTTAACATAGTTTTAACTGGAGTTATTGCTATGTAGTGAGTGAGTGAGTTTAGTTTTACGTCACTGGACAGAAGGAAATAGATGTTTTCGTTTTTAGCTTGGGTCAGCGCGCCCGAATACACCCGTCGCTTTGCGTATATGCACGTGGGATTTAAAATCTCGTGCATTTCGTGGTCATAGCTGACGACAGCGTTAATCAGTTTAAACATTGGCAGTTAGTTAGACATATTGCTGAGGGACAGGGTCGTCCATATCGAGCTCCAGCCAGGAGTTACAAATTACTTATTAGATTGCTTCCATTATCGGGAAGACATTTACACAGAAGCATAGAAGCTTAGTTAGCATTCACACTTTCGGTGAATGTACAGTGCGGGGATTTTTCATTGGGTTTACTATTTTGTTTCGGTTTTGGTGTATTAAATGTTCAGACATAATTATTTTGACTTTTCGTTTTATAAATGAGGAATACAGACAGCCTCATTCCGAGTCACTTTTAGCAATATTGCAGCATATATCACAAGAAACTAGCTTCACGCATTGTGCCTGTGGGGTATCAAACCCTGTTTTGTGGCGTGAACGTTTTATCCACTAGGTGACCTTACCACTCCTACTGCTATGTAGAAGTGACTTGTATTTCACAGATGTATAATGGGACCTAATAAGAAGCTGTATTATTGTATCACAACTATAATTACCTATGAACAGGTAAGAAAGTAACAAGGCACTCAGTTTGGACCCCAATATGTATATAAGGTTAAAACCTTAAACATTCATGTTAAGTATCTCTACAACATGTACAATTTGGAATATAAGGGGAACAAACAAGAATCCCAATTCAATTTATTATAATGATATTTTTGGTATTAAAATACTTCTATTTCATATACAACAGGTCTAATAAAAAAGATGGATTTGATAAGTAACTTAATTAGTAACATTAACTTTCATAAATTAATTAAATGCACTATTAAAATATCTGTAC